TCTCTGTGATACCAATAATGGAGAATATTTATAGTCAGGGTTGAAACCGGGTTGAGGAGGGGGGGTCCCTGGTGCTCTCTGGGCTTCGTTGTTTTCTTGCAGATGTTTCATTACCCCACTAGGTAGCATCATCAGTGCTAGTGATGATCACCTGAGTCAGTCTTTTCTTATGGTTGTTGAGACAGTATTATACCGGTCTGCTCAGATTTTTTTAAATTATATTTCTTGTAACCCAGGGGTCTTCAAACATGGCCCTTTTATGACTTGTGGACTTCAACACCCAGAATTCCTCAGCCAGCGTGCCTGGCTGAGGAATTCTGGGAGTTGAAGTCCACAAGTCATAAAAGGTCCAAGTTTGAAGACCCCTGTTTTAGAGGTTTAGGACAATAAAATAGCTATTGATGTAGTCAGCTCACTAAAAATACTCCACTTTCAAGGATGGATGGATGGATGGATGGATGGATGGATGGATGAGAGTGCTAGTAATGGAGCAGTACAAGGAGCAACAAAGAGAAAAAATAAATTTTGAAAGAAACATTGAAACAAAACTTGAGTGTCTCTGAAGCATTTAGACCAGGGGTAGGCCACCTTGGCTCTTTTATGACTCGTGGACTTCAGCTCCCAGAATTCCTGAACCAGGCATGCTGAGGGGAAAGGGAGAGGTTTCTAAGCTGAGCCATGCTGGCTCAGGAATTCTGGGAGTTGAAGTCCACGAGTCATAAAAGAGCCAAGGTTGCCTACCACTGATTTAGACAATCTGAAAGTAAGGGATCTGCTCATGGTTTGACCACCAAGGTACCCACAGTTTAACCAGAGTAACAAAATGAATGTTGAGATCTTACAATGTAAACCGCAAACCCTATGCATAAACCATAATGTTACTACGATCATTTTTGTTATTTGCTTCTCCCTATGGAGGCTAGTGCTTTTCTCTTATTGCACAAGCTAGAATGACTTTTATATTTTATTATATCTTATTTTTCAAATAGAATAACATCTGGGAATAGGTCAGACACATGACATTGGACAGGGCAGTCTCACATTGTGGTGATCAGTAAATCACAACCTACAAAATGTCCTTGGCTGACCAAGCTTGTGCTCCACTCCTGTTTAAATGTCATTCCTCTACTGCAGGGGTCTTCAAACCTGGCCCTTTTATGACTTATGGACTTCAACTCCCAGAATTCCTCAGCCAGGCAGGCTGGCTGAGGAATTCTGGGAGTTGAAGTCCACAAGTCATAAAAGGGCCATGTTTGAAGACCCCTGCTCTACTGCTGAATTTCCCTACTCTACTGCTGAATTTCCCTGCTCTACTCTAATTTCCCTGCTCTACAGGGCTGAAGGTGCCATCGAATGGATGGCACCTTCAGCCCTGCAGGAGGGAAATTAAAAATTTGGCCATGAAGTTGAATATGAGTTTTCAGCACTCATATCCAGGGAATGCTCTTAAAACCAAACTTAGATGAAGCATAAAAGACTAGCATGGTAGCCTCTCATAACGATGGCTTTCTTTTGTAGGGAAAAAAGGAAATGGCATCTACCTAATTAATATAAACCCATCCTAGCAATGCAACACTAATGTATTGTGCGGTAATTGTATCTCCCCCCCTATAGTTTGTGATGTATCTTCTTCACAGATGAGATCATTAGCTTTTGATATATGCAACAGAGCATATATCACAGAAATTCAGCTTCTATAAGCAAGGCCAACTTTAATGTGCATTCAGAACCTTCTCACCCTAATAATCAAGATTGGTGCTGGCTTACATTATGCTCCGTTATTTTGACAAGTACACAGGCATGCTGGCTCTGAGGTTATATCACAACAAATAAATAAACAAAAGCTGGGATCTTGTAAAAGCCTAGTGTAGACACTTCTTTATGTATGCGTTTATTGGTTAGTCTTTCAAGCCGCCACAATCAGAAGACTCTCGTAGTTAATTGTGATCTCTCTCCTGCAATAGAAAAGAGGGGTTAAGAGCAACAGTTGATGTTGCTACCAAAGTGGTACCTCAACCATCCATCTTCCCAAACCCTTTTCGTAGAAGCATAGAAAACTGACGGCAGAAAAAAGGACCTTAGTGGTCCATCAAGTCTGTCCTTCGAGTTTGTTTGTTTTTACTTTTCTTTTGAATTTATTTATTTATTGTTTTTTAAATATTATTATTCTTATTTTTTTTTTATTTTTTTTTTTTCCTCTCTCTTTTGCCTCTCAAAAACGGAGCTATTTTACTGATACCGTGGTCTAGCTCCGTTTTTGCAGTGGTCTAATCGTAAATGCCTCCCTGCACCTCCAATGCAGTGGCTTGGCACCTTTAAACTGCGGTGGGCCAAATCTTTTGCTTCCCTTGCCCTTGCCCCGTGTTTGAAGCTGGGATTGAGTTCAGTTAAAGAGGAGCCAAAAGAAGTAGCAGCGTTTGAATTCACGTGGGGGGCAGGTGGTACTGCTGCATCTTGGAGGTGACAAGGCTGGCTTGGTCGCTCAACAGTGAGAAACTGGTGAAGCGTGCACAGTAGCGCTTGTATTTTCTGCGTTGCATGAGAAAAGCACATCTTCCTTCCCCTGTCCTGACCACTTTCTACAGGGGGACGATCGAGAGCATCCTGTCATACAGCATCACAGTCTGGTTTGGAAGCATCCCTGCTTCAGACAGGAAGGCGGTGCAGAGAATGGTGAGGATGGCCAAAAAGATCATTGGCAGTTCCCTCCCTCCCATCCAGGACATAACACAGAAGCGTTGCTTGAGCAGGGTCCGTAAGATTACCTGGGACACTACACATCCTCTCCACGACCTGTTCTCCTTGTTACCTTCTGGGAGGAGGGGGTTTCGTGGTATCCGAAGCAGAACATCCAGATTCAGCCAGAGTTTCATTCCATACAGCATTAACCTTGCGAACTCTCAGGCTTCTTCCTTCCGTTATATATTCAAGATGGACAGTATTTAATACTTATTTGTTATGTATATGTAAAGGTGTGCATCTATACATATTCTGGCGCAGCAGTTAGAGTGCAGTACTGCAGGCCACTTTAGCTGACTGTGTTCAGCAGGTCAGCAGTTCAAATCTCACCGACTCAAGGTTGACTCAGCCTTCTATCCTTCCGGGGTAGGTAAAATGGGGACCCAGATTGTTGGGGGCAATGTAAATATATATATATATACATTGCTTACTGGTGTACACCGCTTAGAGAGTGCTTGCACTTAAAGCGGTATATAAGTCTCATAAATAAATAAATAAATAAATAAATAAATAAATATGTTGCATATATATGTTTAGGTGTGTGTCGTGTATGTGTTTCACTTTGAGAGCAGGCAACTAAATTCCATTTTTGATGTGTGCCATTGTGCCCACAGTAAAAAAAATGACAATAAAGGTTATCATAAATCTTAAATAACGACCTTTAACTTAAAAGAAAGCTCTCATATATGTATAGGTGGTCCTTGATTTATAACCAATTACTTAGCAGCTGTTTGGAGTTATGATGGACAAACCCATGCCCAAAGAAAAAGATACCAACAACCCATTTTCAAAGTTCTAAAATTTGCCCTCCTCCCACAGCCACGTGACTGCATTTTGCCACTCAGAACAACATAGCCATTTCCAGAACCCTGTGATCACATGGCCACGATTTACAACATTTTTCCCGGAAACCAGCACTTTCTTCTAGATTCTGGCAAAAAAAATAATAACCTGGCCCAGAGCCAAGAATGGGTTTGCTTAACAACCACACGTTCATGTAACAACCGCGGTGTTCGTTTCAACTGCAGTGTTTGCCACACGCTAAATAAATGAATAAACCACAGGGTTCATGGAATAGCCACGGCCAAATAGGTTGTAAAATTGGGGCTACTCACACACTGTGACCCGTTTATAACAATCACGACTTACGGCCGCAAATGTGGGGCTCAATTATGGTTGTAAGCTGAGGACTGCATTTATGTGAGGGCATAAAGCCGCGGGGCGGGGCGGTGCCTATGACACTGGGCTGGTTGGCAGGAAAGCCAGCAGGCTAGGTTCCAAACCTGAGCTCCATGCAATGAAGTGAGCTCCCATCCTCGCTCCAGCAACTTGCCAGCCTAGCAGATTGAAATCATGTAAAGGCGAGCAGATAAATAGGTACCACTTCGGTGGGAATGTAACAGCGCTCCATGACGTCACACTGGCCACCTGACTGGGGGAATGTATCCCCCTCCCTATAGCAGAGGTGCCCAACCTTTTGGGCACCAGGGACTGGTTCTGTGGAGAGAGGTTTTTCCATGGACCGGACACTGCGTAGTTTTGTGTGCTGCCTGCATCTCGCGGATGGGGCTTTTCTTGTTTGTGCAGACTGGTTGCTGGCATGCTGCGGCCCGGTACTGGTCCATGGACCAGGAGTTGGGGACCCCTGCACTATAGGACAGCACTGGATCAAATAGAGATGAGCACCACCTCCTATAGTTGGCAATGACTAGTGGAGTAAAAACAGTGGTGGGATTCAAATATGTGAACAACCAGTTCTCTGTGTGGATGCCGCTTCCGGAAGTCCATTCTGGGCATGGGCAACCAAAAATTAGCTACCGGTTCTGCCGACATGGTGCGAACCAGCTGAATCCCACCACTGAGTGAAATCCACAGGGACACTTTTACCTTACCTTTATAAGCACGCAGAGGGACAGGTTCACTGGTTAGGTGAGGACAGTAGGGAAAAAAGAAGCAAGATGCAGAGGTTCTCAGAACCTAAAGAGCAAAGACTCTTTAGAGGATGTCATGTTAAAGACAAGGGCCTTCTCCTTTCCAGCTGCTTTCAGACTAAAGTTCCTTCCCTTCTCCCAACTTTGTGGATTTTTACAGAGGTTTTGATTGCAAACCGTGTCCTCTTTTAGAGGGATGAAGGAATCTCATGAATACAGAGAGTGAAATTACATCTGACATCCAAGTTGACAAGGAGCCCCAATCAGTGATGGCCGAATCAGCAACCCTACGGCGCATCTCATGGCTTGGTCTTCTTCTTTCCATTTTAGGATGATGTGGCTCAGCCGTTGAATCTCTCAGCCAAGCCCAAGACAAACGACAGCAAGTCTCCCTCGTCACCTACTTCTCCTCACCTGCCATCGTTGAGAATAAACAGTGGGTGCAGCTCGTTGAAATCTTCGATGCCAGCAACGTTAGCTAGTCCATCAGCCAGAGTCAACACAATAGGTAAGGAGATCTATTATGCTTGAAGTCAGCCATTCGTAGCCTATGGGCCTCTTAAGCTGCTATGGCAGTGGTGGTGAACTTTTTAGAGACCGAGTGCCCAAACTGCAACCCAAAACCCACTTATGTATCGCCAAGTGCTAGCTGGGTGTGGCCCACTGGGTGGGCATGGCTGTGGTGGTCATGGCAGACTGGGTGGGTGTGGCCAAAGTGGCAGGGTCACCTCGATATTGCTCGTGGGGATAGATGCCTGTAGGGACCGGGCCGGGTTGGGGGAGACCTAGGGGGTCTCTCTGGCAGGTGGGGTGGTGGGCAGGAGGCTCGTCCTGCAGGGTGAGGCAAGGCGAGGCAGGGTGCCATTTCCATGGGGCAAGGTGAGGCAGGGGCCAGACTAGCTGCTGCCTGACACCATCGGCTCCCGCACACAGAGGCCAGCGAGTGCATGGGAGCCGATGGTGTCCGTCAGCAGCCACAGCCTGCCAGCTCCTTGACTGGCGCACTCTGGAGCTGGACAGCTGGCTGAGGTGATGTAGTGGGTCGTGCCCTGGAAAAGAAGAGCATGCAAGGCCAGGAGGGACGGGACTGGGGGGAGGGAAACCAGCTGTGCTGGGATGCATCCGGCTACGTGGGACCTCAGTGAGTTAGTGGACAGCTGGTTGAAGAGGGATGGTTGCCATCTCCGGGGCATGGCACGCGTGCCCACAGAGAAGGCTATGAGTGCCGTCTCTGGCACGCGTGCCATAGGTTCGCCACCACTGTGCTATGCCCTCTCTCGCATATCCTGTGATTGGATTACAAATATCTGAGCCATTTTTCAAGGGTTTGCAAAGAGATAAGATTGATTAAGGGAACCATTTGTTTCCTACAGACCTTCCGATCTCCCCCTTACCGTTCACAAGCCTTCTAGAATATAACACATATTCAACAATACAATTATAGATGTGAGTTGTACTGGTTCTTGGTCAATAGTATAGTTAACTGCGAACGAAAAAGCCAAATAAATGTATGCTTATAATATTAGCATCTTAAATTGTAAGTTAATATCAATAGAATATATTGCTCTCTCTTTTCTCAATAGTCTAAGCCATCTAAATAATAGAAGGTCTAATTTTCAGATGTATTATACAAAAATCAATGTGTTGAAAAAAAAACCACATAGTGCATTAAGATTTATAGTGATTCAGGTAGTCCTCAACTTAAAACCACAACTGAGTTCAAAAGTTCTATTGCTAAGTGAGACATATACTGAGTTTTGCCCCATTTTATGACTTTTCTTGCCACATATGTTAAGTGAACCTCTGCAGTTGTTAAGTTAGTAACACGGAGGTTAAGTGAATCTGCCTTCCCCATGGACTTTGCTTGTCAGATCAAAAGGTGACCCAGGGACACTGCAACCGTCATAAATATGAGTCACCTGGCCAGTGCCTGAATTTTGATCACATGACCACGGGGATGCTGCAACGGTTTTAAGTGTGAAAAACGGTTTCTGTTTTTGCTGCTGCTGTTGTAACTTTGAGTGATCATTAAACAAACTGTTGTTAAGTCGAAAGGTATAGGGCAGGGGTAGGCAACCTTGGCTCTTTTATGACTCGTGGACTTCAACTCCCAGAATTCCTGAGCCAGCATGGCTCAGCATAGAAACCTCTCCCTTTCCCCTCAGCATGGCTGGCTCAGGAATTCTGGGAGTTGAAGTCCACAAGTCATCAAAGAGCCAAGGTTGCCTATCCCTGGTCTAGGAGTCTCACCGCTTAGAACAGGAGGACTTAGGACAGGGGTAGGCAACCGTGGCTCTTTTATGACACATGGACTTCAACTCCCAGAATTCCTGAGCCAGCATGGCTCAGCTTGGAAACCTCTCCCTTTCCCCTCAGCATGGCTGGCTCAAGAATTCTGGGAGTTGAAGTCCACAAGTCATCAAAGAACCAAGGTTGCCTACCCCTGGTATAGGGTTTCCTGCCTAATCAGGGGGTTGGTCTAGAAGACCTCCAAGGTCCTTTCCAACTCTGTTATTTTGTATTGACTATTCTGTATTATATTCTAAATCAGTGGTTCTCAACCTTTCTAATGCCGCGACCCCATAATACAGTTCCCTATGTTGTGGTGACCCCCAACCACTTATACATCACCGGGTGCCAGGGGCGTGGCCAAAGAAAAGGGGGAAAAATGGCGGACAGCCTTGTTTGGCGACCCCTGTGAAATGGTCGTTCGACCCCAACTGGGGTCCCGACCCACAGGTTGAGAACCACTGTTCTAAATGAAGAGTCCTTGGTACTCTCCGGGTTTGGTTGTTTTCTTGCAGACGTTTCATTCCCCAAACTAGTACAAATTAGTAATGAAACATCTGCAGGAAAGCAACCAAGCTCAGAGAGCACCAAGGACCCCTCATTCCAACCCTGGGCTACAAATAGTCTCCTTTATCTAGTCCTCTTCTTCTTTTTCATAGACAGTAAGTGAAGGAAACATAGAAGTACGGTAAATGTGCACCACTAAAAACATATTAGGTTTGGAAAGCCTTATCTCGTTGCTTCTAATCTCCTGGCTTGTTTCAGATGGCAGAACAAGGTCTGAAGGCTTAAAGGAACATTGGACATGATTAAAATCACACCTACAACCCACCAGATAGTATAACACAGTTCTCTCAGAAACACACATCCTCTCCATTCCGTGCTAGTAGGAAATCTTAACAACCTTCCAGAAAGCAAGGAAGATAGGGACCCACCACACTGCAACAGGGAATCTGTTCCATAAAATGAGGACGGATAGAGAAAAGGCTTGCTTTCCAGGTCCCACCAGATGTCCACATTTAAGAGAGGGCATCAGGACTCTAAGCAGCTTCGTAATTTTTCTCTTTCCGACTTCCTAGCCTTTTTTCTCCATCCTTTGGAATCCTTGCCATTTTCCTCCTCCCCTTTCACCGACATGTAGATTTTGAAAGGCTGTACCTGTAATGAGTGATAATGTAATTGGATAAAAGCTGTGAGGATGACTGGAGTTGTAAAGGTCACTCTTGTAAGGAGAATTAATGTGTTATACCATTAATAAACCATGGGAAACTGTGGACCAAAAGATAACATATTTAAGCTATTGTTAACAACGCAGACTTCATCCCACATATCTTTATAAGACAGATACAGAAAAGGGCTTTTGGGGGGTAATAGACTGGATCATGGTACATGCTATCTAGGATACTGGAGCCTGCCCACTTCCTCTCCCTCCCTATTGACGCTTCCTCCTTACTGGTAGCTACTTTAGGATTAGAGCAGGGGTCTTCAGACTGAGCCCTTTTATGACTTGTGGACTTCAACTCCCAGAATTCCTCAACCAGGCACGCTGGCTGAGGAATTCTGGGAGCTGAAGTCCACAAGTCATAAAAGGGCCACGTTTGAAGACCTCTGGATTAGAGTCAATAGCTGACGATAGAAAGCTGATTCTTGCCTTCCTGCTGCTCTTGACCGATCCTGGCTACTTGTAGGCATTGAATGGAGACATCTGCTTAGGCTAGAAACAGCCAATCTAGAAGCAAGAAGGACAAGCATTCAAAGAGCATCACGGTAGCTGTTTTTGCATGACACACATAACAAGCCAAAGACCAACGGACGAGTTTGCATGTCATACAAAGTTTGGTTAAAACAGTGGTTAGTTGTGTGTGTGTCTCTCTCTCTATTTCTCTTTCTCTGTGGGTATGGTTTTCTATCAGTGTAGGAAAAGATTACTGCAATCACTAGGTTAAAGCGTTCTGTGAATGCAACTAGGCTGTTTGGACCTGATGACAGAACTGACCAGGTTTATCTGTATAGCGCAGGGTAGGCAACCTTGGCTCTTTTATGAGTTGTGGACTTCAACTCCCAGAATTCCTTAGCACTGCAGAGATTGTACAGTCCCTGGAGATTAATGAAGGGAGCAGACCTGTATTAATCTGCTCATCCAGGGTCTAGGTCAGTGATGGTGAACCTTTTAGAGACCGAGTGCCCAAAAACTGACCCCGCCCCCTGCCCCGCCCCTACCCCGTTCTCCATCCCGCCTGCCCGCAGGGCCACTCACCGCCTCCAGGGCCTGCCGCAGATCGCCCAGGCAGCCCAGCAGCGCTATGGCGGCCACACCCTCTGCCTGCACCCTGCACAATCAACTGTACGGGATGGGGTGTGAGGGCAGAGTCTTGTCTACACTGCCTGGCTGTCATGTCCTTGGCTGCGCTGTTCCGTGTGGGCCACGCTCGCGAGTGACTCTCCTCCAGGGGGGCTGCTGGTGAGGAGGGGGTCGTGGGGGGAGGCTCCGAGTGCCGCGTCTGGCACACGTGCCATAGGTTCGCCACCACTGGTCTAGGTCTAACGTACATAAGAACAGAAAGCTAGACTTCTCAGGGAACAGGCTAAACTAGGGCATTGCAACCCAGAGGTTTAATTTTGCTTGTCTTTGTCAAAATAAGGACGCCTGCAAACAGAACGACATTGCCTGCTTTATCTTGCAGATCCCAGGCCAAACTATGATCCGACACTTCATTCTTCGTAATGCATGAAAGATCTGTAACGGCTTCCTTTTCCTGCAGAGATTGGAAAGTTCTCCAAATCCTTGGTTTCAGTTTCTAAAGCAAGCTAGAACTGCCAGCTCTGTTTCTTCCAAAACGATTTTTAGGGGGAGATTTAAAAAAAGCAAACAAAAACCCATGCGCACACCATGGCAGCAATCCAAAGATTCTTAGCAGGGTTAGTCTGAACCAATCTGACACCAGTTCCTCTCTCCCCCCCCCACCCGCAAGGTTTCAAAGCGTTGTGCAAGGAGTCCGTGTTGCGCATTCTTTGGCAAGCGGCGGATCAGATAGAAGGCCCGAGCCATACAACCGAGGATGTGTAATCTGACATGATTAGACAAGGCTCTTTAGGAACACAACATTCATAATTGAGACAAAAGAAAAGAGTATTAATAACACTTCCCTAACACGGCAGTTAGCCATTTTATATTTCCTTTCTTTAATCTTGCTGTTTTTCAACAAATCATGGGATTTA